TTTCTCTTGACAATCTAGCAAAATTGAGTCATTCGCATGAAAATGTCTGGTTACGTCAGCGAAACCCGCTGATTTTCCCCATTTTTCAAGCGCTGAATGGCGCAAAAACTGTGAAATCACGGCAACGAAATAGTGTTCGACGAGCGAACAAACCTCCTTGCACCGCGTACCGGCATTGGTGCACAGCTTCGGGACGGCCAAGTTCTCAAATCGTCCTCTAGAGACCCTTACCTACCTCTGTGCGAAGTTTCAAGTCCTCCCTCTGAAGTGGCATACCCCGAAAATAAAAAGCATCCTACAGATTTCAGCTCCCGGACTATATACCACTGATTCTACAATGTCATTATCGTAGTACAGAGTAGGTATGGCTATTGCAGAGTTGATGACTCTGGGCGTAAATCAACGACCCTGTAACGATCTAACTATTCTAAGGTTGTAAGATAGATCGATACCAAGCAGCATATCTCATTCCTTGACCTTCTGGTGTGCTGCGCTGATAACCGTGAAAAGTTTACGGATACTGAATCGTGATGGCTGTGTTGTTCGTGAAGGCCGACCAGAAAGTTTGGCAGAAGCATGGGGAAGCTGTCAAGCTGACAGAAGAATAGTTCGTGCATCATGCTGCCCGGCGACCAGTTCCGAAAGTCGCTGCACAAGACATGAACAGTTTGCGCTGTGTGAGCGAGTGGTTGTGACACAAGGAGTCGCGGTGGTGGCAAAAAGGAAGGTGAAATGCAGTCGCCAACTGTATGAAGGGTCACTGCTAAATGTCACAAGCTTGCGAAAATGACAGGTGCGCCTGTCTTTTGTCAGTGACATTACATCGTTTTCTCAACATAGCTGAGATTTAGTTTCTTCAATATAATCAAGAGTGCATAAAACAAGAGTATGCAACTGTGGTTAGGGGTAAGTGCGTGGCGCGCTGCGTTCATTACGTAACTAACGTGTTGTTACTTGCCTTCATCACGCTCTGAAAGTATGCACTCAAACTCACTATTTCTCCTACGAGCCCATCAATTTTTGCTCCATTCCTTCCAGTGCCTACGCGAACTCTAAATGTTGGCGTGTGAACTCCAGTTCCGTACAAAAGTTCATTTCAAACCAGATGGAAAGTGCGGTGTTTGATTTTCCGCAGTGTCACTGCCCGGACTGCAGCTGAATGATGTAATGAAGGCAGCGCGCCGCGCATCTAGCCCATAGAAAAGAGATCACAATTGCATACTCTTGTTTATGGACACTTGGTACAGTAGACCTACCCTTATAACGATATTTGCGTCCGACCAAGAAATATTGTTATAAGGGTAACTGGTTCATTCCTACCCGTACGTCATAATGCTATGGGTTTAGTTCGTTTTTTGCACTCTTTATAGAGTCAAAACGTATGTACATGCACATTATGTACACGGCAAGGTGCCCACGGGTGCCCCCATTGCATTTCGTCATGTCCCAGCGACTTATCAAGTGAAGCTTGCCCTACCTTGACAGTGGACTCTACATATTCCCTACTGGATATTGTTATAGAGGTAGTATCGTTATAGCAATATTGTTATACTTGTAGAGGTAAGGCATTGTATACGAAAGTCAATGGAGTGATATGGTTTGACCGAAAAATATCGTTATAAGGGTAATATCGTTATAGGGGTTATTGTTATAAGGGTAGGTCGACTGTATAAGCATTTCGAGTTGCAAATGGGAGATGGCTTTTGATAAATAGGGCCTGGTTCCTCAGGATGTATGCTGGGACCGATTTTAATTGTTTGCCTGCACATGTATGAGTGGGTGGTGCATGCGTGCACTGGTGTGTTTGTGAGAGTCCACTGGTGAGTATGTGTGTGTGTGTGTGTGTGTGTGTGTGTGTGTGTGCCTGTGCACATGCACATCCACTGGTGTGTGTGTGTGTGTGTGTGTGTGTGTGTGTGCGTTTGTCTGTCTGTGTGTGCATGTCTGCGTGTGTGTGTATGTGTGCACGGGCGTTCACTGGTGTTTGCATTCGTGTGTGCGCACGCGCACGCGCCAGTGAATGCAATGATGTGTGTGTGTGTGTGTGTGTGTTTGTGTGTGTGTGTGTGGTACATGGTGTGTGTGTGTGTGTGTGTGTGTGTGTGTGTGTGTGCGCGCGCGCGGGCGTTTACGGGTGAGCACGCTTACATGCGCTGATGTGTGTGTGTGGGTGTGTGTGCGCGCGCGGGCGTTTACGGGTGAGCACGCTCACATGCGCTGATGTGTGTGTGTGGGTGTGTGCCCGCAGACGTGCACTGGTGTGTGTGTGTGTGTGTGTGGTGTGCCGGCCAAGTGCCGCAGGAGTGGGTAGACGCTACCCTGGTGCCAATTCCGAAGAATGGGGACCTGACCCGATGCGACAACTGGCGTGGCATCGCACTGCTCGATGTTGTCGGCAAGGTCCTGGCGAGTCTCATTCAGACAAGACTCCAGGGCCTGGCCAGCAGCTTCCTCCCGGAATCACAAAGCGGCTTTCGGCGAGGCAGATCCTGCACGGACATGGTGTCCAGCGTACGTCAGCTGCTCGAGAAGACCATCGAGCATACAACCAAGGGTTTCTTCGTCTTCATCGACCTGAAGAAGGCCTACGACTCTGTGCCCCGTAAGTGCCTCTGGCAGGTGCTCTCCCGTGCTGGTGTCCCCCCCCCCCCTTCCCCCCATGCTTGCAGCAATCCGGTCTTTCCACGATGAGATGTCTGCAGTATTGCGAGTGAGTGGCACAGACGTGGATTCGTTTAGCGTCGCCAACGGCTTGCAAGTTTGCACTATCGCTCCTGTCCTCTTCAACATCTTTATGTGGGCAGTAGTCACCAAGTGGCAACAGAGGGTCAGAGGTATTCCTGGCGTTGGTTTCGAGTTCAGCTACCACTATGGTGAGGGTCAACTATATCGCAAGGCACGCCGGGCTGACAACGCTGCCACCGCCCTAGAGGCACAGTTCGCGGACGATTCCTCCCTGTTTGCAACATCGCGTGCTGGTGCTGAGATTGCCTTGGACCTGTTCAACTCAACCGCTTCGGAGTTCGGCCTCACCGTGAGCGCGACCAAAACGAAGTTCTTGGTTGCGGGAGCTGGCGTCACTGCTGCGGACCAGGTGCCCATACAGCTTGCCGGTGTGGACATTGAGTGTGTGCCGGAGTTCAAGTACCTGGGGTGAATCATCCACTGTGGCGGCCGATCTTCGCAGGATATCAGCGCTCGGGAGGCAAGTGCGTCCCGGGCTTGTGGTGCTCCGCAGCAATCTGTTTTCAGGAACAAGAACTTAGATCTTCATATTAAACGCTGCGTGCCCGATGCTTGTGTCCTGTCTCTGCTCATGTATGGGTCCGAGTGCTGGACGCCGCTGAAGCAGGACCTCCGTCGCATGTCTGTTTTCCACATGCGATGCGTGCGGTCGATATTGGGTATCACACGCCATCATTGCTGGGATGACCACATATCCAACAGCCAGCTGCTTGGGTGGTGGGGTGACTCTGAAACCATCGTCACCAAGGTTCAGCATCGGCGCTTCGAGTGGCTAGGCCATGTCGCCCGCATGGACGACGTGCGATTGCCGAAACAGTTGCTGTTCGGCACCCTGCCATCTCGTCGCCTGGCACATGGCCCACGTCGGCGGTGGAAAGACTGCGCTGTAAAGGAACTCCGCTCACGAGACCTTGAAGCGGACTGGTACAGAGTGGCATGTGACCCTCGCCCAGACTGGAGGTTGGCTTACAGGTCGGACGCCCCGGATCCCCTCGTACCGGCACCGGTGACTTGTTTCACATGCGCCCGGCACTTCGCACGTCATGGTGACTTCGCTAGGCGCAAGTGCACGGCTGAACGGCAGAAGCCGGTTTCGGAGCAGAGAGGTGCATGTCAGTGCCCTCGGTGTCATCGTTGGTTCCGGAGCCGCGGAGGCTTGGCTGTGCATCGTTGCTCCGCTTCTACCTCGTGCCCAGTACCGACCCAACCAGCTGCTGTTGTCACCGGTGACACTACCGCTCGGAGGTGCTGCAATGCTCATTGTGGCACCTGCAATCGTTGTTTCCGCTCAACCCAGGGATGCATCCGCCATCGCTGTTCAACGCACTGCCACCGACCAACGGCCAGAGAACGGGACAAGTTCCCTCATATATGTATCTGCTCTCGCCGGTTCCGACTAGTCTCGCATCTGGAGCGCAATCGGGTGGCGTGCTCTTTCTCTCTCTCTCTGATGCCCCTCCGGGGCCCACGTGACCCTAGTGGTAGTGGCTCTACAGGACAGGACAGGTGTGTGTGTGTGTGTGTGTGTGTGTGTGTGTGTGTGTGTCTACAGGAGTCAGTTAGGAATTTTGTAGCTCTCATTGTTTGATTAGTTTTTGTTAGCTTTCAGTTCTCAGGGATGACTCTGGGCTTCCAGGGTCGTCCCTGGGACAGTTCCCAGTAGAATTCCACAGCGGAAAGTCAACTGAGCAGATTACAGGACGAACTTCGGGTCTCGTCACTCTGACTCTGTTTTCCGCTGTTGGACGCATTGCGAGGCCTTGCAAGCCCGCGAATGGAGCCATCTACAGCACGCAGTAGGAGACGAAAGGAGTTTTTAGGAAGGAGTGTGTGTGTGTGTGTGTGTGTATGTGTGTGTGTGTTTGTTTGTGTGTGTGTGTGTGTGTGTGTGTGTGTGTGTGTGTGTGTGCATGTTTGAGCAACGTTGTGTGTCGTGGGTGTGTGTGTGTGTGTGTGTGTGTGTGTGTGTGTGTGTGTGTGTGTGTGTGTGTGTGTGTGTGTGTGTGTGTGTGTGTGTGTGTGTGTGTGTGTGTGTGTGTGCATGAATGAGGTACCACAGCCAGGAGTGGACTGGTTATCCGAGGGCTTTTTCCTATTGGCAGTCGTACGGAGAGAGGGTACAGCGTGTTGCACGGGGGTGCATTGACATCATCCTCTTGTTTCAAGATGCTTCAGCAACCTTGAAGTGCTGCCGGCTATGCGCCTTGCGTGTGTACATGTGTCCTATTGCTTGTGTGTGTCTGTGTGTGTGTGTGTTGGGGGGGGGGGGGGTCACACGTGTATGCACGAACACAAACGCCTGTGTATGTTACCAATGTCCACTGCAGGTGCCAACCCTATGAAAGAAAGCAGTCGAAACCTAAGCAGTAAGCAGCTTCTTCCGATGGTCTTGTCAGTATATGTTGCATGCCAATACCGTCAAGGCACACTGTCACGGATAACCTAGGTCTGGCACCAAATCTCCTGATGACGTAACCATGGTGACATGGAAAGTAGAATCAGCAGTCAGGACGGCGATCATGGTACCATCAACATCCCTGGGATATTTTGCCCGCCACTCAGCACTAGAAGAGCTCAAGTCTTGCAGCAGGTAATGTGGACATACTGCAAGAAATCATTGCTCCTGTTGCTGTGCTGAACAGCAGCGTTGAGCTGGTCAGCTTGCAGCACTGTTTGACTCCATGAATCTTAGTGGCACATTAGCTGTTATCTGCCAGCCATTGTACTGATGTGTCAATATCCGCTAACAGAAATGATGGTGATGAGGCTTCATCAGAAGGTGACAATTGTTTTGATCATTAATCTCAAACCAGTCACTGATGTGTATTGTGCGCACGCACACCCCACAATGGTGTGTGTGTGGGTGTGTGCGTTTGTGTGTGTGTGTGTGTGTGTGTGTGTGTGTGTGTGTGTGTGCGTGTGTGTGTATGCGTGTGTGTGTTTGTGGGTGTGTTTGTGTGTTCCCTTGGCTTCGCAGGTTGGACTTATCTGGCACCAGTCTTGATCTGGCCCATTCAGATCTTGTCCGCTATCGTTGCAGTAAGAGAAAAATTGTGTGTGCACATCCAGTGCATTTGCAGATTTGCGTGCTTCTCTTGCGACCGCATACACTTGGTACATGGTGTGTGTGTGTGTGTGTGCGTGCGCATGCGGTGAGCACGCACGGTGCGCGGGTTCAAGATTGTGTTGGTGTGTGCATGCGGGCGAGTATATTCACATGCTGATGCTGGTTCTACACATATCATTGTGTTGAGAGTTGGCAGGCGGTGCGATACATATTTTCCAAGGCATTGGCATGCCTTTTAAATTCTCTCGCACAGATTTTGACCGTGCTCTCATTTAGGCTCATGCTGTTCCTCACAGGTACAATGTGTGCTTGATACTAAACACACTTTTAATCATGATTTTGGGATGCTGAAACTCTAATACTACTACTAGTATGTTGTCACTTTTGTAAGATCTCTTACACGCTATTCTATAACATTTAGTGCCCAAGCTTTTCTTGAACCCCTAAAAATAGGCCTGATTACAAAAATATAATATATGTCTCATTTCTTTATCCACATTCCGAACATTCATTATTAAACATACCATAAAAGCTGTATAGCATGTCATTTTAGTAGGGGTGAAACAATTTTACCGAATACTCGAGTACTAGCACTCGCTCGGTTTTTTCATAAATAATCGTACTTGGAATAAATCAGAGCACTCGTTCAATTATGGTACATGCATTTACCACAGAAATCTGCAGTTTCAGAGCAGCAGTCGGCAGATATTGATGTGCAGACTGTGTGATGAACATTTGTTCACGAGTAGAGAGAGCCCAAATGACCCACCAACCAATGTACCCGAGAAAAATGACTGCCACTCGATTCAATCAGGGTTGTATCATGTCATTGGTGTGTAATTTTTAGGAGAAGAAAAATACTCGAATATTCGATCTGAGAAAATCAGAGTACTTCGAAGTACCGTAGAATCCCGAGGATAAGCCCATGGGCTTATCTGTTTCACAAGGACATTTCGGTGGGCTTATACGAGAACATGGGCTTATACGCGGTCATGGGCTTATACGCCGACACCAACATTGTGCTATTGAAAAGTATCAAGGAAGTGAGAAGTACATTGCTGAAAACCACTGTGCAAACAAAAACAACCGATGATTGTGCTGAAATGTACGAAAAAAACTATAATGTGAATGACTACGTACATGGTATGGCCAAGAGTCCATGATTTATGGACTCTCGGTATGACCTAGGCCCATGGGCTTGTACGATGAAGCTTTGTGATGTTCGAACAAACCCTGGTCTTTTGCGCGGGCATGGGCGAATACGCGGATGGGCTTATACGCGGATGGGCTTTTACGCGGATGGGCTTTTACGCGGATGGGCTTATACGCGGATGGGCTTATACGCGGATGGGCTTATACGTGGATGGGCTTATACGCGGATGGGCTTATACGCAGATGGGCGAATACGCGGATCTGCGAATACGCGGATGGGCGAATACGCGGATGGGCTTATACGCGGATGGGCTTATACGCGGATGGGCGAATACGCGGATGGGCTTATACGCGGATGGGCTTATACGCAGATGGGCTTATACGCGGATGGGCTTATACGCGGATGGGCTTATACGCGGATGGGCTTATACGCGGATGGGCTTATACGCGGATGGGCTTATACGCGGATGGGCTTATACGCGGATGGGCTTATACGCGGATGGGCTTATACGCGGATGGGCTTATACGCGGATGGGCTTATACGCGGGCATGGGCTTATACGCGGGCATGGGCTTACCGGTATACGCGGATGGGCTTATACGCGGATGGGCTTACACGCGGATGGGCTTACACGCGGATGGGCTTACACGCGGATGGGCTTACACGCGGATGGGCTTACACGCGGATGGGCTTACACGCGGATGGGCTTACACGCGGATGGGCTTACACGCGGATGGGCTTACACGCGGATGGGCTTACACGCGGATGGGCTTACACGCGGATGGGCTTACACGCGGATGGGCTTACACGCGGATGGGCTTACACGCGGATGGGCTTACACGCGGATGGGCTTACACGCGGATGGGCTTACACGCGGATGGGCTTACACGCGGATGGGCTTATACGCGGATGGGCTTCTACGCGGATGGGCTTGTACGCGGATGGGCTTGTACGCGGATGGGCTTATACGCGGATGGGCTTATACGCGGATGGGCTTATACGCGGATGGGCTTATACGCGGATGGGCTTATACGCGGATGGGCTTATACGCGGATGGGCTTATACGCGGATGGGCTTATACGCGGGCATGGGCTTATACGCGGATGGGCTTATACGCGGATGGGCTTATACGCGGATGGGCTTATACGCGGATGGGCTTATACGCGGGCATGGGCTTATACGCGGGCATGGGCTTATACGCGGATGGGCTTATACGCGGATGGGCTTATACGCGGATGGGCTTATACGCGGATGGGCTTATACGCGGATGGGCTTATACGCGGATGGGCTTATACGCGGATGGGCTTATACGCGGATGGGCTTATACGCGGATGGGCTTACCGGTATACGCGGATGGGCTTACACGCGGATGGGCTTATACGCGGATGGGCTTATACGCGGGTTTCTACAGTACTAGTACTCGAACTCGGGATCTCAGTGCCAATTTTCACACCTAAATTTTAAAATTTAGGTGTAGTAAAATTTCTGTATCACGGACCTGTCAGGTTTCAGGTGTAATGTAGAATTTGGTGACCAGCCTACCCTTCATAAACAGTGTGGACTCCAGTGCCATTTTAGGTGTAATCAGGTTGCGTTTGGTTGGTCACATTCCACAACGGGAATCATTTTGCCCGTTTGTTTGGTCAAATAATCCCGCTAGGTTGGTCCCGTTCCAGAATGGGAATCACTGATCATTCCAACTCACATGCTGGAATGATCATTCCTATTCCGGAATCAAAAATGAAAATGGTTGGCACAAGCCAATCAATGTAGCAACAGGATCAATTGCCTCAAATCATGCACTCAGAAGTACCTTGCCTCTCTCAAGGAAACTAGAGTCGGGCAAAAGAGAAGAGAGCCGTGGTTCCACAATGACACCATGGAATTGTTATGTCAAGGGATTCCAAGTTGATTCTGGCGCGTTTGTTTGGTCAGGTGATTCTTCCGTTCCCATTCTAGAATGGTTTATCATTATTGTTATTGTTAATCGGATGTTGAGCCAATAATAAATGTAGAAAGGAAGAGGACATATGGATACGAGTTAAGAGTAACTCTCCATCACTATAACCAGATGCTATATACAGTCAGAAAGTGCAACAATTAGGCACAAAGCTGACAAAGTACTGAGACATTCGACGTCCTGACACCTAGCTTCAACACATCTCCGTACCGCTAACCGACAGCCTTCCAACTCGGAAGGTTCAAGGTTATGGAAAGACCAAAGAGGGGAAGGTAAGAGCAACGAAAACGAGCACAAGCTACAGTCCTAACGGAACAAAGAATGTCGATTGTTACTGGACGATGACGAGACCAGTAGGATACTTGAAAAAACGGTCTAACTACAATTCGAAGTAGCAAAGCAGCACACCACCCAACTCGGGTGGCTCATAAATATCAAAGATAAGTAAAGAAGGGGGAAGCATTGCGAAAACGAATTGTACAAGCCGAAAGCCAAACTCCTACGGTACTCCTCATGCTTGACATTGTGATGGACTAGTCGACTACAAAACGAGTTGTTTCACACGACGTACGTTTCGCCGAATGGTTCGTGACGGTCCTACTGGTCTCGTCATCGTCCAGTAACAATCGACATTCTTTGTTCCGTTAGGACTGTAGCTTGTGCTCTTTTTCGTTGCTCTTACCTACCCCTCTTTGGTCTTTCCATAACCTTGAACCTTCCGAGTTGGAAGGCTGTCGGTTAGCGCTACGGAGATGTGTTGAAGCTAGGTGGCAGGACGTCGAATGTCTCAGTACTTTGCCAGCTTGGTGCCTAGTTTTTGCACTTTCTGACTGTATATAGTATCTGGTTACAGTGATGGAGAATTACTCTTAACTCGTATCCATATGTCCTCTTCCTTTCTACAATTATTATTTAACTCGGATGGTGAGCCAATTAAATTATTGTGAAAAGAAGAGGGACAATATGTTACGAGTTATGACTAACTGTCCACCAACGTAACCAGATCTTATACAGTCAGCGAGTGCGACAAAATGGCACAAAACTGACAAGGAGTACTGAGACATTCGCAGGACTGCCACTTGCTCCGATTTTTCGGAAATCGTCCGATTTTTGATCACCTGTCGGACAAACCGACCGATTTTGTTCCCAAAGGGGGACAACCGATTATTTTATTTTGAGCGCTTTTTAGTCCAGTTGGCCATTCGGCGCTTCCAGGTCGCGTTTGGCCAGTCATTGTACATGTACACGTAGCAGTAAAATGCACTCGTGCTTGCATGTGTATACAGTTAAAATATGTTCTGGGGCCCCAACAGCAAGCCATTTTCCTGAAATATTTCAACGGGGGACACCCCGGACCCCCGTCAGATTTTTCTCCCTCCAAGTGTGGCAGCCCTGCATTCGGCGACCTGACACCTGCATACCCGCCAAGTATCCAGATTTTTTCGGGATTATCCCGCAGTTTTGGATGAACTCCCGCAATCCCGAAATTCCTGTCGATTATCCCGAAATTCACTGTACAAGAAACAAGCTTGATATTGTACTTGCAGCACTTCAAATGACTTGTCACAGGCCAGTAATTGTCTTTATCGATCCCGGACCGCCATAGCCTGCAGTACCAGTGGATCTCCTAGTGCTCCTTCCATGAGCAGTGTCTGAAAAACCTCCGTTTTTGTGTCTTGAACATGACTGTGTAACTGGTGTGATCCGATGATCACCATCAATCATCTATTATCGAAATGTTGGTGCCATCAAAAAATAAAAAAGGATTTTTTTGGTAAAAATATGACATATTCCGAAAAACCAAGGCAAATCCCGGGATTTTGCCATGGCGATCCAGAAAAAGCACTCTGAGTACTTGGCAGGTATGCACCTAGCTCCAGCACTTCTCCAAGGCGCAAACCAACAACCTTCCAACTTGGAAGGCTCAGGTTCGGAAAGGTCCAAGAGGGGAAGGAAAGCGCAACGAAGAAGAGCACGAGCGACGCATCACGGCAACAAAAGAATGCCGAAAGTTACTGGATGATGACGAAACTAGTAAGACTATTGGACATACCGGCCTTACTACAACTCGACGACGCAAAGCAACAGACCACCCAACTTGGGAGGCTCAAGTTTATGCAATAAACGTAGAAAGAGGAGCTAAGCGAAGACGAATTGTGACAAACCGAAACGTCAACATCCTACTGAACTCCACTATCATGTATGATGGACTAGTTATGTACAATAACAAGTAGTTCCACACGACGTACGTTTCGCCGTATAGGTCATGACGGCTCATCAGGTGTGCAATATTTAACTCGGATGGTGAGCCAATTAAATTATTGTGAAAAGAAGAAGGACAACATGTTACGAGTTATGACCAACTGTCCACCAACGTAACCAGATCTTATACAGTCAGCGAGTGCGACAAAATGGCACAAAACTGAGATCATTAATTTTATATCTCAGACTTGCTGCAAAACACTCATGCCAATGACGACTATTTGCTCAGGTGACGGTAGGTCAGACACAGAGCTATTGAAGTCCTGGCCGGCCGCCTGCCATTCGGCGAACGTGAACGTCTTCTTGCCGCACTGCACACGGAAGTTTG